GAGAGGAAAGGTTCAAGATGAATCTGGAACATCTCTTGCCAACTATCAAAGAAGCAATAAAAAATAATGAGGTCAAGTCAAAATAACACAGATCTTAAAAGTTCTCATAGAAAGAAACAATAATTATGTGGTATGATGATAGATACCAATCAAACTTACACTCATTCTGCAATATATACACTGTAAAATGTTATATACAATGTAATATAACATTGTCCTATAACTAGGAGTTATATAGCTAGTTCTAAAACTAGAACAATGTTATTGATCAATTTATAACGACGACAACAACAAAACAAAAAACAAAAGAACACAAGAAATGGACTGAAGGGATTCTCATTTGCCAAATTTGGAATAATTTGCAAAGATTAATACCAAAAAGATTAATTTGATAATCATAACACACTGAATTCACACACATACACATATGCATACACACACACGTCTGTTACTCCAAAAGAAGAGAGGCAATGAAAAAGACACATGACAGGAAAGTTACCTATGACAAAGAATAGCAGCAATATATATAGAAAGAGTAGCATAATTACCATCTTGTAGCCCACAATATTGCAATTCTGCCAATGGGTGTGGAGTGGAAGGTTATCAGGAATGCACTATTTTGACTATCTTAACGAATTATTCCACAGATTACTTATGGGGTGGGGATTAACATAGATCCTGATCTTAACCAGTAATCATATTTAACATTCATGGATAGTAGGACCCTGACATAAACCTTTGAAAGTGGTGCAATAAGAAGTACACAGTATTGTTAGGAAAAAAAATCTAACTTGAATCTAATCACCAATAAAATGCGAAAACAAATGTAAACAGGTAGAGGTGCTCTAGCTAGATTAAATAAATTGTTAGATTAAATTAAGTTGCTTAAAGAGATAACTAAATGCAATGCATGAATCTTGACTGCATTTGATTTTTTAAATAATGAATTTATTTTTTAGCAGTTGGGAAAATTTGACTACTAACTATTAGATAATATTATTATTAGATAATATTGACTTCCTGCTAGTGGTATGTGATTATTAAGAATGTTATGCTGAGATTTTAGAACCTAGGAATCAATAGTTTGGCTAAAAACATGTGTCTAAAAATAAAGAAGCAAAGTGAAAATTGCATGTAGGTAAAATTCTGTAAAAGAACATATATTCAAAAAAAACATAATCCATCAAAAATGGGCAGAAGAGCTAAACAGGCAATTCTCTAAAGAAGACATGCAGATGGCAAACAGGCACATAAAAAAAAAAATGTTCATCATCACTTATCACCAGGGAAATACAAGTCAAAACCACAATAATGGTGAGGATGTGAATAAAGGAAACCTTGTTACACTATTGGTGGGATGCCTAGTAATTCCACTACCAGATATTTACCCAAAGAATATAAAAACACTAATTTGAAAGGAAACCTTTTCAAACCCCATGTTTATTTCAGTATTACTTAAAATAGCTAAGATGTGGAAACAACCTACATAGGTGGATCAAGAAAATCTTGTATACACACACACACAATGGAATACTACTCAGCAATCAAAAAGATAAACTCATGCCATTTGCAGCAACATAGACTGATCTGAAAGGGATTATGATAAGCAAAATGAGCCAGGAGGAGAAAGATAAATACTGGATGATGTCACTTATGCGTAGAATATAGAGACACTGAACAAAGGGTCAAACATTAAAATCAACCCTTAAAAGCTGACCACAGGGCCTTCCCTGGTGGTGCAGTGGGTTAAAGCGCAGCACTGCAAGCTAGTGGCAGCCGCTTTAGTGCCAGTTCATCCCTGTCCCCAGAGGTGATCCACATGGCACGGCAGACCTCTCCTGTCTGTCTTGCCTGCTGCTCCCCTAAGCAGTGTACTTCATCAATCTGCCCTACTCTGCTCCCACTCTGTCTCTGGTGAATCCTTACCCTTGCACCTCTGGCCTGTACCCCAGTTCTGTATGCATAAATAAATAAATCTTAAAAAAAAAAAAGCTGCCCATAGGTCTGAGACATCCAGAGGAGAGGTGGAGAGCATATGGACAATGGTGGTCGACTATTGGTGCTTTGGTGGTGGGAGAGCTACAGTGACTACACCTGAAGGAAGAAATCCTCAAAATATCATAAAAATTAACGAAGGTAAAACAATGGTGCTTCATTTAAAATGTTTTTAAATGAAAATTTAAAATTTTGAATTTTGAAAATTATATTTTTAGTTTGAAAGAAAGGGGAAGAACACTTCCCTCACAGGAACCAGTGTAAAGTTCTAGCCTGAGTGCCTGACCCCTATAAACAGCCAGATTCAATAAACAGATTTGTTATTACTACTAGTAAGAATCATGAAAATCTCTTAATTTTCCTCTATCGGTGTCCTTATGAGGATGAGAAAGTTAACTCAGGTTATATTAAAGTAGTCCACAGTTGGTGGAGTGGTTAGAATGTAAATCCAAATGGTCTCTATGTAGACCCACTCCCTACAGAAACCACAACATGAGGTCTGCCTGCCTCATGCTGGGAGAAAATGACCGTTAGAGCATTGATCCTGCTCCTCTTAAACCCAGAACCTCTGCTTCTAGAGCAGGAAAGAAATTCCTGTTAAGCCGATTAAGAATACTCACATAGAGGTCATTTTGCTGGTCAGAACAAGTTAGAGGGCTTTTTTGGGTGACAGGAAAGTGCACAGGCCACTTGTCACCTGGGCTGGCATTGAATCAGGCTTTGCCATTAACTAGTTGTGTGATCCTCAGCCAATTCCTTAGCAGATGATGATAGTAAGATAGTAAGGGGCCTCCCTGCTGGCACAAAGGGTTAAGTCACAGCACTATGAAGCTGTCTGCAACCACTGCAGCAGGAGTTCGATCCCCTGCCAGGGAGCTGACCCACATGGCGCAGCAGGACTCTCCTGACTTGGCCGCTGCTCCCCTCAGCAGTGTATTTCAGTAGATCCACCTGTTCTGTTCCCCAGTCTGTTTCTGGTGAATTCTCTTCCTACTCGTACCTCTGGCCTGCACTCCAACCTTGTATGAAAAAAGAAAAAACTCTTTACGAAAATAATAAGTTAGTAATGCTTGCACTTATTGAGCAGTTACTACTATTAGGCCCTTTATGTATGTTAATTTCATGGATGAAATAACTACTGTTACTGTCCCTCTTTTACAGACCAACCATTCTAGGCCTTCTCCTAGATGTGCAATTTGCATTTGCCTCTCCTTTGCCTGCAAGTGAAGGAAAATCCCATTCGTCTGCCAAGCCCCTTGGCTGCAATTCATTGTGTCCTCTGCGACTCCAGAGCATTTTATTCTTAAATTCTACCAAGGCCCACTTTACTTTAGTAGAATGGTGGTTGGTCACCTTATTGAGGATGGAATTTCCCCCGTCTGCATCCCCAGAAGCAGGCAGAGTAGGGGAAGAGGATGATAATACTCCCCATATAGTTTCCCCACCCTAGACTGTCATCTACCAATACGGAAGTTTGTAGATGTGAATTAAAAACAACAAAAAATTGTGTTTGAAACCACTCTTTTGGATTTTCAATCTGGAATCTAATGGCCAGGTGACCACTTGGAGACAAATGTAAGAACTCCCACTGTGTACATGGACTGAGCATGGGGATAAATCTCAAGGATAGCAATAGCTGGCTTGGGGTGCTACATAGGGGCACTTCACCTCTCCTTTCTGGCCTCCTCACATGCAGCAGCTGTATCTTTAGCTGTTTTGCTCAGTTCCTCTCTGCTGGGATATGCAAAGGTGGGCTGGAGGTGGGGAAACCACCTGACCTGGCACAGATTCCCCATTTGCTCAGCAAAGTATTCTCTCACCTGGGGTAGATTGATTCCTACCGCGACCATCATTTCTCATTTTTTTTCAGAATTTTCCTTTTTCTCAGCTTACTCCTCACTTTGTTTCACCGTGCGGTTTTTTTTTTTTCTCCTCAGGCACAGGGATCCCATTTTAACTACCCTGCTCATTATGGTCTTTCTGCTTATCACAGCAATTATAACTTAGAAATAAAGATTTTCAAATTCATCTCCTTATTTCATCCTCCAAATAACTTGCCTTACAGGTGAGCATTCAGAAGAGTCAAGGGAGTTGGTCCTGTCACAGAATCTGTGAAGGTAAGCCCTTCCAAACTCGTTTCTTTGCTGTTATCCAAAGTGTACCTCTGTGTCCCTGCAGTGTATGGGGGAAAACAGCAAGGCTTTTGGAACAAGGAGTGGTTTCGGGCAAGTTGCTTTACTTCTCTGAGCCTCATGTTCCTCACCTGTATATAGATGCAGTAGGTTCTCTAGTAACATCCTTTTGTTATGACATTGAGGAGAAATAAAGCCCTCGCTGACGTTGAATGAAACTTAGTCTGAGTCAGAGGACTTACTTTTCTTAATCGTTTGGTTAAGTATGTTTCCAGACCCTACCTACCACACTGAGGATTTACTGTAGTGATGACACCTGCACAGGGTGTGATTTGAATGAGATCATGTGTGACGCACTGGATTCAAGGGATGGGCTCTTTATTTCCAGTCACAGGAGGGAAAGTGTTCTTTGCATCCACAGGTGCTGGCCCACTTGAGCACCCCCTTGCCAAGAGAGGTCAAAACGGGGCTTTTCTGAGTTGGGAGGGGTCTATATCACTTTTGCGTCGCCGCCCTTCCAACCCTGAGGTTTCTCTGCCCCTTCTGTCCCATCAACCCAGGTTGCCTCATTGGCTCGCTCTGCCCCCTCACCCCAGCTCTGAAGTCGACCCGTCGTACCAGACACTGGAGCGTTCTCACCTCATTTCCCCGCCCCTCCTTGCTCCACCCAACAAGACTCCTCCCACAGTCTCGACCCTCTTAATCCGGGCTTTTCCTACCCCCACCAACCATCCTGGCTCCTCCCCACTCCCCTCACCCCGTTTAGGGCCCGCCCCCAGCCCCAGAGAAGTACTCCCATCGCTGCAGGCACCGGCGCTGCCGCGTCCATTGCACAAATGAGAATGGCGAGGGTAGTAGTCTAGGCTAGATCACCTTTTATGCTAAGTCAGCTGCCCAGGTGGGTCCGCGTCCCCTCGTCGGCTGTCCCTGAGTCCCGTGCCCCCGATCGCGCCGCACCCACCTCCTGCCCTCGCTCTGCAACCTCCCCTCCGCGGGCAGCCAGCGCAGCTTTGCGAGGGGGGCGGAGGACCCGAGCCCAACCCCGGGGCGTGGCGGCGCGGCATCCGCGCGCAGCACTCGGGACTTGTAGTTCTGCTTGGGCTTTACTAGGAGCGCTGCGTTCAAGGCAAACTCCATCTTCCAGGAGACTTTGCGGTGAGCCGTCCTGCTCCCCGCCCTTGCTCCCTCCAGCTCTTAGGCCCGCAGCCCTTAAAGGGGACGCTGCCCTAGTGGCAGTTTGCGGGGTGGCTTCCGCTCCGGCCCCGCCCCGTTCCCGCGCCTTACCCCCCACCCCCACCCCCAGCCTAGTCTCGCAGCCCAGCGGTTGCGCTGCTGAGTCCTCCTTACTGGCTACAGGCTTGTGCAGAGCAGGATAGGGAGGTTAGACTTTTCAGTGCAAGCAGCATCCTTGCCATCTGGGACCTGGCGGAGGGCGTCACCGCCCGGGTGGGAGTCGAGGACCCGCCCTGACCTCGCCTGGCCCTGCCTATTTCTACCAGACCTGAGCGCCCCTCCCAGGAACCGACTCTGAGGCTGGGGCCCCTTGGGGTCCGGGAGGTAAGGGGGCTGGCGGTGTGTGTGCGGGTTGAGGGATAGAGTATCTGACTCTTGGCGCTTGCAGAACCAGGGAGAAACGCGTAGGGCTTTGAGAGACCAGGGCTGGGAGGTGGGAGGTCGGTTTTAGTCCGGGCCTCGCTGTGTGACCTTGGGTTAGTAGCTGTCCCTCTCTGGACCTCAGTTTCCTTCTTCATCATTGTGTATGGAGGTGATACCGCCCCATCCCACTCTCGGCTGAGGGCACCTGCACCCAATACTATGAAACTCGCTGGCTTCTTAGGGGTCCGCAGTCCCAGCCTGTGTTGGGCACTGCATTGGTATAACTCGAAGGAGGGGGTGGGGCCATGGGGTAAACTGGGAAGACCAAGAGGCAACACTCGGAATGGGCTTCTGCTCTTCTCAGTATCCTTGGCCATACTTACTCTGCAGGAGTCCTGGCGAACAGGAGACCCTGATGTGTCAGACTGGGTGTCCATTCCAGAAAGCCTGGGATGGGGGTGGGGACACAGATGGGTGGCTTTGTGAGGGGTGGTCCCCAGCAGGGATGGGTAGTGTGATGTGTCCTGAGAAGGGAATATGTGCCCCACCCTCTTCCTTTCACTTCCACCATCCCCTTCAGTAAAAGAACATTTGCTTTAAACAAAACAAAAAATCAGTAAGCCCCCTTTACCCATTTATATTTCCAGGACAGTTTGCTGACCCTGCCAGGACCTCCCAGTAGTAGTGCAAGAGACTCCCACCCAGGGCTGCCTAAGTGGAATTCAGTTGTCTAGTAGAGACCTGGGGTGGTGGGCAGAAATAAAGGGCACTTCTGGGTACCTGAAGGGGCACCCTGGTGTCCCTGGCTGCTCTGACATCCAGGAGAGTCAAGGAGGGAGATGGGTATGCGGGTCACAGAGGAGGAGAATTGGGCTCCTCAGCCCTTAGGTGCCAGGTTGGGTTTGGGGGAGTGGCTCTGCTCTCTGCTAGGGAAAAGTTGAGTGAGACCTTGAAGCCCCATGAACTCTGAGCTTTTGATCTGAGGGTTTACTAGGAGTAATTTGTTTAGATTTTTCTTTAGTTTTGATTGAGTCATTTCTAGAACGGCAAAAGGCCCACTCAGTCCCTTCCAGGGGCTTTCTTGCTTGCTGTTTGAGATTCTCAGGGTTATGCTACGAAAGACCAGCGAGGGGGCAATGACTGCATGGAAGATTACACCAGTCCCTGGAAGGGACTTGCTGTCACATGTCTTTCATCTTCATCGGTCACTTGGCACTCCCTTACTTCTGGTCATGGATCTGTGCTGGATGCTGGATTCAGATGGGGGTCTGGGTCACTTCCTATTAAAGGAGATGCCAGCCTGGTGGGGAAGGTAGACAGAGACTCTGGTTACACTGCAGAGCAATGAGGGGAGATAGAAGGCCTTGGGAAGCCAGAACTCAGACTTGCATTGCAGGGGCATTAGAAAAGGCTTCCCAGAGGAGAGTGCATGTGACCTGGGCACTGAAGGATAAATCAGAATTTTCCAGGAGAGAAGAGGGAAGAACTGTTTCCCAGCAGAGCGCATCACTGCAAATTTGCAAGCAGGAAAAAAAAACAAAACAAAACAAAACAAAAAAACCCTCTGCCCCAATTCCCGTGGATTCACCACTGAACTCTGTTTTTCAAGTTTATCTCTACCCTGCCTCACCTCAGCTTTAGCATTACAGAAAGGGCTTAAATGTGCAGCTCAGTAACCCCGTTGGACCTAATCCTGAAGGGGTTAGGTAGCCTTGAGAGTCCTGAGCCTGGGATGTGGCTGGATGGAGCTGGTTTAATGAGGTTAATCTGTTTGCAGGGGGAGCTGCTAGGGAGGAAGGAGGAAGCATGAACTGGGGCCAAGACAGAGCATTGCTGTTGTATGTACAGACATACGAACACACACACACATGCTGAGTGTTTTAGGAATGATAGAGATGAGTCAGGCTCCACCGTGCAGGGTCAGAGATCTGTCAGTACACAGTGGATATGCGGAGGGTAATCCCAGAGGGATAGATAAAGGCTTATGGAGCAAGCATGATTTTCCTGTGCATTACTATGTGCCCTAGGAGTTGTGGGACTCCCAAGCTGTCACACCAGCAGTGACAGGTGCAAGTCAGGGGCGTGTAAGGAGTAAGCAGCATGGCTGGGACAGGAAGAAGGATTGGTAGGTATTCATCTCCTGTTTGGGGGTTCAGAGAATCGGAGAAGTGAAAGAGCATCAACCTCTGTGGCCACTGTGGAGAAAGGTGACTGGGTTGGATTGAAGGCCTGGATTCTATTCAGCCTCCACGGATTGAGGAGATTGGCTAGGAGGCACCTGTGTTGGACGAGGCAAGAAATAAAGTGGAGTTGATCTTGGGTGGGGCTGGAGAGCTGGTGGAAATGCTAAATTGCCAGTGAGAGCTAATAATAGGATGATATTTGTAGAATTAGCAGTATCAGGAATGTGCGTCTCTTTCCCTGACAGCCTCTGTTTGGCCCTTAGGACCTTCTGGCCCAAGAATAGACTGGTGGCTGCTCCCAGTCACTTCTACCCTCACTCCAGCCCTAGAGTGGCAGACCTGAAATGGTTTCCATCTTTTCTAGGTGAAAAGGCTGAGGGGCCTGTCAGGGACTAGCCCAAGGTCACTTGGTGATTCTGAAACAGAGAACCTGGGTCTCATGCTTTTAGTGCAGGCACTTCCAAGGGAGGACACAGCTGCTGTGTTTGGCTGGACAGCTGTCTTTTGGGTCGGGGCCAGTGTCAGTAGGCCAGCTTCCCATCCAGAACCTAGAGGGTATGATCGATCCAGCCTCCTCTGAGGATCACTGATGGCCTCAGAGAGGCCAAGTGCAGGTTCTGATCCCACCCTGCCAAGTTCATGTCTTCCTCGCTGAGCCTCTGCTTCTTCATTCTGCAGGGTGGTGTGGTAGACCTTGTTTCCCTTCACTGGTGGGCTAGGTGTGGTCTAAACCTCTAAAATCTTTTTCTCAGGAATGCATTCAAGACATTCTTGAGTGGGTTTGTTGGTGACCGGGGTGACAGCTGACCTCAGATTGCCGGTATGGGAGTGGGGTTGGGTAGGCTGGGCTCCCCTGGTGTGCCAGGCCATGGATTGCAGAGGCTGCCGGACTGGGCTTGCCTACAGTGGCTGCAGTGATGAGTTCCAGCTGCCAACACACACCCCATTGTGTGTATTGGGTATTAGGTAGAACCGTGTGACATTAACCAGCATCCAGTCATTCATGTTCATTTGTCTAACCTGATATCATTTGTGCCCATTTTGCAGAAAAGAGGCTCACAATGATATTTACTCAAGGTCAGTCTGGACTGACTTTTAACTAGATTGGTTTTCTTTTCACTTCCAGAGCCTTCCCTAGCCCCAGTACTTCATTTCTGCCAGCCTCATACTGTCTTCCTCCACACATGATGTCAATAACTCATTGATTAGGGCTTCTCCTTAACTGCCTGAATACCCAGATTTCTTGGCAACATGGTGGAAAGCATATTAAATCCCCATGCATATAAGGGCTCTTTAGTGATATTGACAGGGTATTTAAGTGTGCAGTGGCATTAAGTCTAAAAACCAACATATAGACCTTAGTTAACCAAATATTATAAAATGCAAACCATCATCGAAAACTTCAGCCAGTTATAATCCTTTTGCTGGTGAAGGGTCTTGAAATTGATGATTACTCGATACTGGTGGTAGTTGCTGAGTGACTGTGGCAATTCTTCAAACAGGGAGTTTTAAGTTTGCTGCATTGATTGACTCTTCTCCCCACAAGATTTCGTTTGCTGCATTGATTGACTCTTCTCCCCACAAGATTTCTCTGAAGCATGTGACGTTGTTCGATAGCATTTTACTTACAGAACTTTCAAATTCGGAATCAATCCTGCTTTATCAACTAAATTTTTGTAATACTCTAAATCCTTTGTTGTCCTTTAGTAAGTTTACAGCATCTTACCAAGAGTAGACTGTATCTCAAGAAACCACTTTGTTCATTCACAAGAAGCAACTCCTCCATTTTATTCAAGTTTGATCACGAGGCCTCCTCAATGGAGTCACATCTCCAGGCTCTACTAATTCTCATGTTATTTTCTCCAGCTGCAGTTACTTCCAAAAATAATCACAATAGTAACACAAATGATTGCAAATAACAAGTATAATAATAAAGTCTGAAATACTGTGGTAATTACTAAAATGGGGCACAAAATGGGAATTGCCAAAGTGAGCAACTGCTCATGTCAAAATGGTACTGATAGACCTGCTGAGTGCAGGGGTCACAAGCCTTTCATTTGGTAAAATAAATCAGTGACATGTAATAAAGTGATGCTCAGTAAAATTAGGTATGCCTGTAAACTCTCTAGAGGCACTCTGCAGTGACTGGCTTGGGCCACTGAAAATAAATCCTGGTCCCTGCTTGGAGGAGCTCACTGTCCGGCAAGAGGCAGGTTTATGTAACTGGGCTCATAGGCTTGGGACACATGCAGCAATGAAGTTTGGTCTTAAGAGAGAGGTAGGATCGAGCAGAATGTCTTTGTAGGGCCTGCAACATAGTTGAGGTCCCACAACTTTGCTCTCAATAAAAGTTTCTTGCTCTTCTAGGAAGTTTCTGGCTTGTCTTCATATCAATTCGAGGTTTCAAAATTAGAGCAGTTTTTATTTGAGGCAGTTGGTCAATACTTACTGTATTCTAGATCAGGTCCTGCCTAGAGTGGGACTATACAAAGCAGAGAAGTGGCCACTGCTTCCTAGGAGCTGAGAGCTATTAAGAGCAAGCTGACCCTGTGTGAACCAGCATGAGAATCAGGAGTCAAAGTGGGTCAGTTTGGGATGAAGGCTCCTGGGAGATAGCACAAATGGAGGGAATGGCAGAAAGCAGGCTGTTGTAGCTCAGTGGAATAAGGCAGCAGTAAACGCACTCCATTTTCTGCATTTGCTCATTCAATACATGCTTATGGTGTGCCAAGGACTGTGATAGTTCTGGGGATACTATGGTGGACAAATTCTGACTTGGCGCCTGCCCTCAGGAACCTATATGCTATTGTGAAGAGGCCCATCCCATACAAGTAATCATGACAAGTGTATGAAGCAGGATGGGATGCTCTGAAACTTAGGGCCTTAGACCTACATAGGAGGTTGGGCAAGCCTTTCTTGAAGAAATGAGATTGAGCTCAGCTTGAGGATGAGCTAAATAAGGTGGAGGGGGGGGGCAGCATATCCAGAGGCCCAGTGGCAGGGAGAACAGAGTGAGCCACAAGCGAGCGGCTGGTGTGGGCTGAGGCAGGCAGATGTGCCTGCCCTGAATGTGCAGGGCTGAAGCCCCGGCATGAGATGCTGTGTCAGTGGTATGGCAGGGATTTTGACTTGAGCAATCTATTATGTGATCACTCATCTGTAATGGAGCAGGAGGCCACAGGTGGCTGTAGGAATGGCGGTGAGGAGGGAGTTCATGCCTGAAGGTGCAGGGATGTTTTCACTGAAGAGAGATCTGGACTGGGCTTGGAAAGAATAAAAGGATTTGTTTGCTTGGTCTTGAGTGTGTAGTAGTGGCCACCGGGGCAGAGGATGTTTCAGGCAAAAGGCACACACAAAGTATACACGAAGAGCGGAGTCTTGGGCAGGTGTAGAACATTTGAGAAAGACGTTAACTGGGCACAATCAACTGTAAGGGATTTCTCGGAAGCCTGTTGGTCCTTCCTTGGAACCTCAAACCTTCCCTCCCTCCCTCCCTAGAGTTGTGAAGTTGTGATTTGTGACCATGTTATGTGCCCCACTCCCTCCTGACTTTGGACAGCAGCTTCTAGGTCTAGAGCCTACCTGTCCCAAGAGCAGAGGCTGGAGAGAGGAGAAGAGCAGGGGGTTGGGGGGGGGCGGTGGGGAATGCTCTCCCTTTGTGAGAGTAAAGGGCTCATCAGCAGTCAACAACTACTCTCTGGAGTTCACCTGCCAGGCTTTGTGCTTTACTTCACCCCTGCTGCTGGCGAAGCAGGATGAGGCCCCAGAGGGCCACAAAGGTTGAGTCGCTCGCTTATGTCTCAGGACGCAGAGGACCACGTGGGAACCAGGACCTGTCGAGCCCAGGGTGACCCTTCTCCCTGTCCCCGCAGAGCGGCCGCCATGGACAAGATACTGGAGGCGGTGGTGACGTCATCCTACCCGGCCAGCGTGAAGCAGGGGCTGGTGCGGCGCGTGCTGGAGGCCGCGCGGCAGCCGCTGGAGCGGGACCAGTGCCTGGCGCTGCTGGCTCTGGGCGCGCGCCTCTACGTGGGTGGCGCCGATGAGCTGCCACGCCGCGTGGGCTGCCAGCTGCTGCACGTGGCGGGCCGCCACCACCCCGACGTCTTCGCGGAGTTCTTCAGCGCGCGCCGCGTGCTGCGGCTGCTGCAGGGTGGC